GGATTGGTGGTAGTGAAGGCTCCACCAGCCTGAATAAGATCAGTCTGATGGAGCAGAGAGAGGGCGCAGGATGAAATCCTACTGCACTGCAACGTGTGAGGGGCACAGAGCAAATAAGCAGCCTGTCTGAGGAGACACTGGGCTAAGACCTGAAGGATAAGAAAGAGCCAGGTGAGCAAAGACCAACGGGACAGAGAGCACCGAGAGCCACCGGAGAAGCGAGGACAAAGTCCTGAAGCAAAACTGTGCCTGGCAGGGCAGAGACAAAGCAAGGAGGCAGGTGCACCCGCAGCATGGGGAGTCAGCAGGGGCTGGATCCCGGGGCGCAGACGAGGTGTGCTGTTCCCATCACACTCACCTTGGGGTTTTATTAGAGGGAGTAACTCTGTGCAGACATCTCGGGTACCAAAAAAGTTTGTTTTCATGGTCACTTCTGCTTGAATATGGAAGGGTGTGGGATCAGCAGCTTTTAGGGGAGAAAGAGAACAGAGTTAAAGGACAGTAGCCATGGAGTGACATCTCATAGAATGATACAAAAAAAAGTGCCTTTGAATCCTTGCGAACTGCACCACTAGAGTCTCCCTCTAGCTACAGTATTGTTCCCCTGTCAATTTCCTGGTTTGGTAACTTTCCACACAGTGTTTTTGAATGATGGTACCACAGGGGGAAGGTGGATGAAGGGTTCACACACTGGATCTCAGTGTATTCATTTTTTGCAATTTCTTGTTTATCTCAAAATCAGTTAAAACTTCACCCAACTTCCGTAAAGTTTAATCTCAGCAAAACTTTGGAAAATCTGGAAAAGATCCCCAGGAGTCCCAGCCAAGGAATCACCAAGTTCCCTTTGGCTGGAAGTCCCTCCCTCTCCCTGAGAACTCTGCCTCTCTGGGCCCTGCCCTCCCTCTGCTCCTGGGAGTCTGTTCAGTCCCTCCAAGCGGGAGGGGTCGCAAGGTTTCTCCCACGGGGCAGGAGGCTCTCCCGGAGGTCACCTCCCCTCTGAGCACACCAACTCCTTACTCTTGAAGGCGATGCCCGCATTGTTGACCAGCACGTCGAGGCCCCCATACTCGCTGCGCAGGAAGTCGCGCAGGGCGCGGATACTCTGCAGGTCGTCGATGTCCAGCTGGTGGAAGCGCGGGCTCAGGCCCTCCGCCTGCAGCTGCTGCACAGCCGCCTGGCCCCGCGCTGCGTCCCGCGCCGTGAGCACCACGTCCCCTGAGAACTGGCGGCACAGGTCGCGAGCTATGGCAAAACCGATGCCCTTGTTGGCGCCGGTCACCAGCACCACGCGGCTGCAGGACGACATGGCCCGGGGGGGCGCGCGGGGCACCTGTGTGGAGAAGGGATCAGGCCGAGGTGCTGGAGCAGCGCGGCTCGTGGGAGCGTCTGTGCGAGTGTGGAGGATGCCAGGTGCGCTCAGGTAAGACAAGCTCCAGGAGCCCATGGCTGGCGCGCAGGTGCAGGAACCGCCCCCGCCAGGGAGGGGCTTGCGGGACCTGCCCTAACCTCCCCAGAGCAGAGGATGCTAAACAGAGCTCTGTGGCAGGGCTTTGCAAAACCGCAGGCAGAAGACCATGGCTGATCCGTGCCCCTGGCTGCCCGTCTGACAGTGATAAAGAATTTCTGTTGATCTCGTGCCTAGATCTGAATTCACCCCTAATCCCTGGTTCTCTGGTTTTTAAGGGTTTTTCTTCGTGTTCCTGCAACCATTCAACCATTCATAGTTGTGCTTGAAGAAATGTGGCATTTGTATGGACTTTTTTTGTTTGTTTCTTTCTGGTGTTCTAAAAAAATACATGGCTGGAACTGAAATCTTTGGAACTAGAGTTGTGGAACAATTAGGAAGGAAATGACAAGCTGATTTCTCCCCTTAGTATATGAAAGCAAAGCTGCTGGTTTGTCCTTGGGCAGGTTTTCCTATAACGTGGGAAACACTTACTAACTCATCACGGGGTTACCTCTCTGGACACTTGTGAGGCCATCGTCTTACCTGTATCTGGGTCCTGCAGTGTACAGGTGACAGGGGGCTTCCCTGACTTATTTTACACTCAAAATCACACATCAAGATGCATCTTCTATTCCCATTTGACAATGAAGAAATGGGTCCAGCCTCAGAAAGTTTGTAAATTAGTTCAATGATGGGAAATGAGTTTCCTTCCTTACTATTTAAAACAAGAGAGTAGAGGGTTATAAGGTCAAGTTTCATTTCTGTGTTTTCCATAGGTGGCCAGTAGCCATGTGGCCATTTAAATACAAATTTAAATCAACCCAAATTAATGCATTTAAAATTTCAGTTCTTTAGTTCCACTGGCCGCCTTCAGGTGCTCACTATTCATGTGTGTTAGTGGTCACTGTACTGGGCAGTGCAGATACAGGATGTTTCTATCATTGCGGAACGTTCTCTTGGGCACCATGAGTTTAAGTAGAATCCAATTATGTTGCGATTTCAAGGTAGGTTTCCAGTCAGTTGCTTTAGAAAAGTTAATAATTGGAGAAAGAACTTTGCTTATTTTCAACTGTAATTTTTATTGAGATAATTGTAGATTCACATGCAGTTAGAAGACAAGTAGAGATTCCTTCCTTACACTTCACCCAGTTTCCCTCAATGGTAACATTTTGCAAAACTATAGTACAGTATCACAAATAGGATACTGACAACAAAACAATCCACAAATAATATTCAGATTTCCTCATTTTTATTTGTACTTCTTTGTGTATTTGTTCTATTAAATGTTATTGCCCGTACAGCTTTGTATATCCATGACTACGGTCAAGATAAGGACATTGCCATCATCACAAGGGTCCTTCCTGCTGCTATTTCATTAGCATACATACCTCTCTCTTGCTGCCTACCCCAACTTCATCTCTTGGCAACCACTAAGGTATTCACCATTTCTACAAATTTGTTGTTTCAAAAATGTCACATAGAGGGAGTCACACAGTATGTAACCTTTTTTTCCCCACTCAGGATAAGAAAGAGCTCCATCTTGGATGTTCTTCCTTATTCCAGTGTGTTTTGGTGAGTCACTGGTTGGCCTTGGCCTCTCTCCACATCACTAGCTACTTTCTTCCATAGCTGGGGTGAGCCAGTGTTAGAAGTTGGTGGGATGGATTAAACTCAGTAAGTGAGCCAGTCATCCACAGGGTGTACAGGGAATGTTGGCAGGGTGAGGCTCCTGCAGTTTCAAAAGGCAAATCGTAATAAGGCCATGAATCATGATTTTCACTTTGAATTATTTATTCTTTTAGTACTGCTACCAACACAAGAATTGACAGGTCCATTGGGCAAGATGCTCCAGGAAAGGTAACATAGAAAATATTGTGTATTAATAAGAATTTAGTATATGATAAAGATAATATCAACAATTAATAGGGGAAAGAATTATTCCAGAATTAACACTGAAGACAGGGCATAATAACTGGAAAGAAAAAAAACCCTTATGTCGGGCATGGTGGCACATGCTTGTTATCCCAGCGGAGGCTGAGATGGGAGGATCACTTGAGGCCAGGAGTTGAAGACTAGCCTGAGAAATACAGAGACACCCCATCTGTATAAAACATTTTTTAAAAAATTAACTGGGCCTGGTGGCACCTGCCTGTAGTCCAAGCTACTTGGGAGGCTGAGGCAGGAGGAATGCTTGAGTCTAGGAATTTGAGGTTACAGTGAGCAATGATTGGGCCACTGGGGCCTTTGAAGGCCAGCCTGGATGACAAAGGGAGACTCTGTCTCAAGGAAAAAACAAAAAACAACAAAACAAATCAAAAAAGCTTATGACATACACTAAATAATTCTTTTCTTTTTTTGAGACAGGGTCTTGCTCTGTGGCCTGGGTTAGAATGCAGTGGCATCATCATAGCTCACTGCACCTCAAATTCCTGAGCTCAATTGATCCTCCTGGCTCAGCTTCCCCAGTAGCTGGGACTACAGGCATGAGCCACCGCACCCAGACCAGTTCCTCCTATTATTAACATCTTACTACTATGGTACATTTGTCACAACTAAAAACCAATTGTAACACTATTATTAAGTAAGCTGCACACTTTATTCAGATTCCACTAGCTTTTCCCCTAATATCCATTTCTAGTGCAAGGTCCCCTCCAGAATGGTACATTACGTTTAGTCGTCAATTCTCTCTACTTTGCTCTGGCTCATGACAGGTTGTCACGTTAGCGAATGCAGGTTCGGCTGCCCACCTCCTCAGAACCAGACATGAGGGGTGAGTGCTGGTGACAGAGAGGGTTTATCCACATGCCAGAAGGCAGAGGAAACAGCGGACTATTGTCTCCGAGGCCATCTCATCTCCTCTGCTTACTGATCAGCTTATAAAGGGAAGGGGTAAAGGGGGTTGGTGGCAGACAGCAAGCATTGTGCTCGACATCAAGACTTGCTGGCCAGTTATCAGCAAACACTAGGTGGTCTGGTGGGTCTTGTCCTCAGCAGTCCGTGGTCTGCCTATTTCGGACTCTTGGTCTGTTTTTCCTCAAGGTGGTTTTCTAATCTTGTGCCCGCAGCTGTGTACGTAGGCGGGAAGTTAATTAAACGTTTAAGACAGAACAAGCGGAGAGTGTACTGGAAGCAAGACGGCTTCCCCTTAGCCAGCCTGGCCTTATAGACTGAATGGCCCTTGGGTTATGCTTACAAAATGGGTCCCTACTCTCCAGATCAAGGATGGACACACAGATGCCCAAACAACCACTGCATGAGAAACTTTGTCTTTTAGGGCCACAGGGTCCAGACATGCATCCCAGCCATAAAGATTTTCCTGCTTCCCAAAGACTTAAATCGTACTTACAGAGAGGATATCATGATACCTGGTGACAGAGCTTTCTGGGTATAGTTTTTCCGGGGTTTATATGAACATATATATAAGGTATTTATTGGCCACCTTAGACAAATTACTAAAGTGACTCCCCAAATATTGCTATACAACAAGTCTCTAAATTCCTTAGCTTAAATGCTTAACAATGCTTATGTTTTATATAACAAATTGCTCTAAGTCTGAAACTAAACCCAAGATTACAATAGCTCAATGTTTATAGATAAGTTAACTTTGTAACCTTGCTTTTGGCTTTTGCATTTTGCACGTAGTCGCCAAAAAGGTTTTAGAATGTTGATGAGTGCCTGTCCATCTCCATTCCCATGTGACCTAGAATGTTTAATTGGCTGTAAGCCTTTTGCCTCTAAGTCCTTTGGACACAGGGTTTCCATCGAGGTCCTAGATGCACACAGGGCAGGTAGCCACTCTACCCAGGCAACAATGGGACAAAGTAAAAGTTTGGCCATCGATGCTGCCTCTGGCAGATCTTAGCCAAAAGGGGGGATTTGTGAATGCAAATAAAATCTTAATCCCCCCACCTGACTGAATGTACCCCTCTTGCCCTAGGGGACCCCAGAAAAACCTTCAAGCTGAGTTGCTAGCCATGAAGAGATGGGAGGTCAGACTAGGTCTGCCCCCTCCACTCTGGAGTTATTGTGTGTAACAATTAGATACTAAATCATTAACAGGCCTAAGGCCACACAGGACAAGCTTAAAGCACACGTGCAGGCCATCAATGTAGTTAACAGATCACTTGAGTTTTGCAAATGTCCGGTGTATGTGCAATGGCTTGTCTCTGATGAACAGACATCCTTATCTTAACTTAAAACATTCCAAACCTTTAGACAAAGCTTCATTTCTTTAACCACTCAAAGAATCAAAGAATCTTTAAAGCCACCTATAACCTGTAAGTCGCCATTTCAAGATATCCTGCTTTTTTGGGCTGAACCCATGTACACCTTCCATGTATTGATTTATGACTTTACATGTAATTCTGGTATTGAAACTCCAAGAAGGTTTCTGCCTAAGTCCAGTTACTCATCGCACAAAGATCCAATTATTAAGACGATTGAGGATTGCCAAGGAAAAAAGATATTTTTAATATGACTGATGTCTTGGGAGAACAGGGGAAGCTG